CCAATCTTTGTTGACATCTTTTGTCTGTTGTCATTTCCTCCCATTCTCTTTGTTCTTGTGGGTTTGTTCCTTTTTAATCCTTTAATATCCTTTTAGTGTGGTTTATACAAGGAACATGAATAAGTGCATCTGTCTAATACACTATAATTTACTGAAAGTATTTATGCTCATTATATGTAAAGCAAGATTTTCTATGTGTGTTTTTTTAAACATAATCACAACCATTTCTCTTTCGTCTGCTCCAAGTTGTCTAGTTTTCTGCAGGTAAGTCTGATTAACTAATTGAGTGTTGTTGTTTTTTAACTGGGGACAACATTCAGCCCTAGGTAAAATTGTGAAGTAGATAAAATTATTTTCAATGTTTTTAGCTTCCCCACACTTTTGTCATTTTCCCCATTTGATAGCCCCCTTCTCCAAGATCCATTATCTTCATATCCTCTCCCCCCGCCCCCCGCCCCCCAATAAACTAGATATTTGGAGCAGGAGAGAAAACAAATGAATGTATTCATACTCGGGTGTAAATGATTGACATCATTACAAAGTACTTCCCAGGATATTAAATAAAATAAAAACTTCTAAACTGAAATGAAGGCAAACTGAAATTTCCAAAGATGTATTTTGGAAGGTCTCTCTGGAAGTAGGAATGTGTTGGGGAAGGAATGGAGTGAAAAATTAGAGAGAAGAGTCAGAGAAAATGAAATAAGAGGGACTAACAGAGAAGATAGTCCAATAGTGACAATGTCCAATTCCAAAAAGGTAATTTAATATTTTCTTCCTATATAAGCAAATCTGGAGAAGCAAGAGTAAAAACATAAGAAAACAAAATTCTATATATTGCAAAACTATAATATGAGACTTGGCAATGTGAAGATACAAATATCATAAAAATTCTTTTACATCTTGTGAACAAAATTATTAAATAAAAGTGTCCCAAATTTCACTTAAACCCCTACCTAGTTAATGTTAATATGTGATCTGACTTTTCTGGTTAATGAAATCAGTAGCTGGAACACTAAGGTTCATATCAAGACAATAAATTTTTATGGATGACTCCAGTGCAAACATAATGAAAAAGATTCTAGTGTTTAACAGAAAGGATTTGACATGATAAACAAGAAACTCTAGTGACTACTAGAAATTATTATTGGACCTTTCTAGATCCATTATCTCTAAGGCAAGTGGCCAGCACAAGCAAAGAAAAACAAACAAGAAGAAAAAAGGAAGGAAGGAAGGAAGGAAGGAAGGAAGGAAGGAAGGAAGGAAGGAAGGAAGGAAGGAAGGAAGGAAAGAAGGAAGGAAGGAAGGGAAGAGGGAGGGAGAGGGGGAGAGGAGGGAGGGAGGGAAGAAGGGAGAGAGGGAGAAGAAAGAACCCCCCCCACACACACACACAAACACAGACTTAGTGAATCAACTCAACCATGCATCTTAAAATATGTTTAGATTTACTTAGAATGTAATTTTAATTTGCTCATATAAAATAAAGACACTGACATACATGTGTTGTTACCATGCAAGTGTGTGAAGCAACACCCTTCTGTCATTACAATTCCACAATCTACAGCATAGTGAGAAAATGGTGAGCTTTTCATGAAGCCAACTTGACCCAATTTAATCAATTGTCCTTTATCCTGAGATTGTGTCCCATCTTGTATGAAACAGGGGTGGTAGTGGACAGTTTTATTTTCCTCCTCCTTCTTCTCTCCCTATTTCTACTTCTTTGAATTGTTCTTACTTCACAAAATTTAAAAGTTGATGAATTTCTATTGGTCACCAACACTTAAAAAATAAAAACACCTACTGTTCAAGGTGTATATATCTAAAGACTTCCAATATCAATGCAAATTAATTCCAAATAGTCCTCTAGTTTTTCTTGCACCAGCTGATCTCAACATAGATCTTTTAAACCTAGATCTTTTCCTTATGTTTTTATGTCTCTATGTTGGTCTGTGTATAAATTATGAAAAAAAGTAAATTATTTAAAATGTAACAAGTACTTAGTGAAAGGTCAACTATGGTAGCTCTAGGGTTCACCTAGGGGCCTAGTGATGGCAGACTACAGGACTCATCTTGAAGATAAAATTACAAAGTAAGCACGCTGTCTTTACTTTGATGTATGTTACAAATTAATGGTAATATTGCATTAATAGGTTTCTAAGATGTTTTACTCATTCTCTCAAGATTAAGAAAATATCAATTGTCCACATTAACAAGAACACTGACTACAGGAAGTCACTTCAATATGTAAGTCTTCAAAGTAATGACGCTCATCTTTGTTTTGTTCATATTGTAAATATATATCACATCACATGGGTATTCCAGAAAGTTCTCCCTGGCTAATTACATCAAGCTGCTATCCATAGAGATTGCCAAATCCAGTGTCTGTGCCTGAAAAGAACACATTTTATAATTTTTTACCATAAAGAGCACTTTTACTCTGAAAGTACTAGATGAGGATTCAGACTAAAGTTTCTGTGCTAGCTCTGTATTTCACGTTGGGACTCTCCTCAAATAACCTCTTCTTTATGCTCTAGGTATCCTGGCCTATAATTAAAGAGAATAATATCTCAATATGACACTCCTATGAGGTAGATATGGTCAGGAAAATCCTTTGAAAAAACTCAGGTGCATCTATGGATTTTTCCCTATACCTAGTAGTGTGCTAATTAATGCCACTTAAAGGTGCATGCATTTGACAATGTCACTTCTTAATCTCATGTCCCAAATATTTAGTTAATCATACATTTAATTTAACTAACAATAAGTAATATTTATTGTGAATAAACATCTCAGATGATTAAAATGGAGAGTCTTAACTAAAAACATTCCTGTATTCTTGATTACTTGTTTTTTACTGAATTCATTGGGGTGACATTGGTTAATAAAATTATATAGGTTTCAGATCTACAATTCTATAATACATCATCTGTATATTATATTGTGTGTTCACCATCCCCAGTCAAGTCTCCTTCCATCATCATTTATACCTTTACCTTCTTCACCTCCTCAACCCCATTTCCCTCTGGAATCACCATACTGTTGTCTGTGTCTATGAGTTGTAGTTTTTTTTTCTTAACGCCTTCATCTTTTTAACCCAGCCCCACAACCTCCCTCCCCTCTGACAGCTGTGAGTCTGTTCTCTGTATCTATGAATCAATTTCTGTTTTGTTTGCAAGTTGATTTTGTTCATTAGATTCCACATATGAGTGAAATCATGTGATACTTGTTTTTCCTGACTGGCTTATTTCAGTTAACACAATACTCTCCAGATCCATCTATGCTGTTGCAAAGTGTAACATTTCCTTTTTTTATGGCTGAGTAGCATTCCATTGTGTAAGAGTACCACAGCTTTTTATCCACTTATCCACTGATGGACACTTGGGCTGCTTTCAAATCTTGGCTATTGTAAATAACACTGTAATGAACATAGGGGTTTATATACTCTTTCAAATTAGTGTTTCAAGTTTCTTCAGACATATTCCCAGAAATGGAATCACTGGGTCATAAGGCGGTTCCATACTGCTTTTGAGGTAACCCCATACTGTTTTCCACAGTGGCTGCACCAATCTACATCCCCACCAGCAGTGCACAAGGGTTTCCTCTTCTCCACACCCTCACCAACATTGGTTATTTATTGATTTATTGATGATAGCCATTCTGACAGGTGTGGGGTAACATCTCATTGTGGTTTTAATTTGTATTTCTCTGATAATTAGTGACATTGAGCATTTTTTCATATGTCTATTGGCCATTTGTATGTCCAATACAAATGTATCACTGACAAATATGTTCTCCCTTACAGTGGATTGTCTTTTCATTTTATTGATGGTTTCATTGCTGGGCAAAAACTTTTTAGTTTGATGCAATCTCATTTGTTTATTTTTTCTTTTGCCCAAAGAGATATACCAAAAAAATAGTTTAAATTAAACTAGACCACCTTCTTACAATGTACACAAAAATAAACTCAAAATGGATTAAAGTCTTAAATGTTAGGCTTGAAACCACAAAGATCTTAGAAGAAAACATACACAGCAGGAGGAGATATATATATATATATACCAAGTAAACTTTTCCATATTTTTCTTTTATAATTATTATTAATTATTCATTAGTGGTGTGCTAATTAATGCCACTTAAATAGAGCAAGTCTCAAGTGAGACTTTTTAAAACCTAGTTATTGATTTATGGTCTCAAGATTATTTAAGAAGCTTTCCTTTCCATTTTGGCAATCTATTCTTGACACAAGAATCTAGGCCAAATCAAAGTTTCTTAAATAATTTCTGGAATGAAAACTGTTGAAAATTCACTATAAATATACTCTGAGTTTATGGGATTAAAATTATATTTAAAACCCAGTCTATAATACAAAGTATGTCATTACATGCTCCAGTAGAATATATTTCTTTAAGGCAAATTTATAGGTCTCCAGTCTCCATTCTTCAGTATAGGAAAAATTATATTCCATCTGAAGTATGAAATTCGGTGAGTAACAAACTAATCTAGCAGTGTTCTTAATAAATATACTCCTTTGTTTATCAGTCATCACTAAAAAGTATTTATTAATTACTCACAAAATATAGACTTTTCCCTAAAGAAATTTAAAGTACAGGAAAAGATATTATAGAAGATTATATAAAACTCTTGCTATTTTCATAGAGCGTGAACATTTTTATAGAAATCCCAAATGGAAACCTAGAAAAGTTTTAAAAAATATTTTCTAAGTTCAATAAATGGCTCTTGCATTCCTTTAGGCATTAAATAGCATATTAAAAATATTTGATTTACTAAAAACTCCACCAAATAAAACTATTAGAAACCATAAACAAACACAGTAAAGTTTCAGGATACAAAATCAGTATACAAAAATCAATTGTGTTCCTATATGCTAACAATTAAATTTCAGAAAAAGAAATGAAAAAAAATTCATTTTATCCAAAAGAATAACACCTAGGAATAAACTTAACAAAGAATGTGAAGGGCCTTTCCCGCAGTGACGACCTCCCCACGACAATCTGCCTCTCGCTAAGGATCTCCTCCATCCCTCTCCAGAAGAGAAGAGGAAACACAAGAAGAAGCGCCTGGTGCAGAGCCCCAATTCCTACTTCCTGGTTGTGAAATGCCCAGGATGCTATAAAATCACCACCGTCTTTAGCCATGCACAAACGGTAGTTTTGTGTGTTGGTTGCTCCACTGTTCCCTGTCAGCCAACAGGAAGGAAAGCAAGGCTTACAGAAGGATACGCCTTCAGAAGAAAGCAGCACTAAAAGCACCTCAAATCAAGATGAGTGGGAAACCATCCAATATTTTGGATTAAAAAAATGTGAAAGACCTATGCACTGACAACTGCAAGACATCATTAAAAGAAATTTACGAAAACACAAAGAAATGGAAAAATATTCCATGTTCACGGATTGGAAGAATCAACATAGTTAAAATAGCCATACTACCCAAAGCAATATACAGATTTAATGCAATCCCCATAAAAGTCCCAATGACATTTTTTAAAAAAAGAAATAGAACAAAAATCATTAAATTTGTATGGAACCACAAAAGACCTCAAATAGCTAAAGCAACCCCAAGAAGAAAGAACAAAGCTAAAGGTATCATACTTTCTGACTTCAAATTATACTACAAAGCAACAATAATAAAAACAAAACAAAACATGGTACTGGCAGAAAAAAACAGACACATAGACCAATGGCACATAAATGAGAACCCAGAAATAAACCCATCTATATATGGGCAAATAATCTTCAACAAAGGAGCCCAAAACGTACAACAGAGATAAAAAATGCCTCTTCAATAAATGGTACTGAAAAAATTGGAAATCCACATGCAACAGAATGAAAATAGTCTGTCACCATTCACAAAAATTAATTCAAAATGGACCAAAGACCTAAATACAAGACCTGAAGCAATAAAATACATAGAAGGAAACATAAGTACTAATCTTATGGAACTTGGTCTTAGAGAGGATTTTATGAAATTGACCCCAAAGGCAAGGGAGGTAAAACAATAATGAATGAAAGAGATTATATCAAACTAAAAAGCTTCTGAATAGCAAAAGAAACCATCAGTAAAACAAAAAGGCAACTAATCAAATGGGAGAAGATATTTGCAAACAATACCTCTGATAAGGGGTTAAAGAACTCATACAACTCAACAACAAAACAATCCCATTTAGAATGGGCAGAAGACCTGAACAGACACTCCTCCCAAGAAGACATACACATGGCCAACCAATATATGAAAAAAATGCTCAATTCACTAGCTATAAGGGAACTGCAAGTCAAAACCACAATGAAATACCACCTGACACCTGTTAGAATGGCAATTATCAACAAGATAAGTAATAACAAGTATTGGAGAGGTTGTGGAGAAAAAGAAACCCTCATACAGTGTTAGTGGTAATGTAAATTGGTGCAGCCACTATGAAAAACAATATGGAATTTTGAAAAAGAAGAAGGAGGAGGAGGAGGAGGAGGAGGAGGAGGAGGAGGAGGAGGAGGAGGAGGAGGGGAAAGCTACCATATGACCCAGCAATCCCTCTTCTTGATATCTACCAGAAAAAATTTGAAAACATTTATCATAAAGATATATGTACCCCTACGTTCACTGCAGCATTATTCATGGTGGCCACGACAGGGAAACAATCTATTCATTCCATGGATGACTGAATAAAGAAGATGGAATACTTACTACTCCAGCATAAGAAAAGATAGAATATGGCCATTTACGACAACATGGATGGATCTTGAGAATATCATGCTAAGTAAAATAAATCAAATGGAAAAAGACAGGAACTATATGATTTCACTCATATGTGGGACATAAAACAGAAAGAAAACAAATGAACAAACAAAACAAACAAGCAAACAAAAACTCATAAACACAGACAACAGTTTTGGTGGTTACAGAAACGGGGGTGGAGGGAGAATGAAGAGGATAAAGGAGGTCAAATAAGTGGAGACAGAAGACTTGCTTTGGGTGGTGAGCACACAATGCAACATACAGATGATGTATATAGAATTGTACACCTGAAACTTACATAATCTTGTTAACTGATGTCACACTGACAAACATAATAAAAATTTTAAAAATACATAATTTAAAAAAATATATGATGAGACATCATCCAGAAGAGTAATAAAGACATACCTGTGAAAAGAGGTTGACTGACTGAAATTAAGGCAGCCTCAAACCCCTTCATTTGAATGGGCTCCTCACAAGATTACAAATACTTTTGTATTTGTAATTTTGTATACTTTTTCTTTTTATTTTTTTTATTGTTTTTAAAATATATTTTATTGATTTTTTACAGAGAGGAAGGGAGAGAGATAGAGAGTTAGAAACATCGATGAGAGAGAAACATCGACCAGCTGCCTCCTGCACATCTCCCACTGGGGATGTGCCCGCAACCCAGGTACATGCCCTTGACCGGAATCGAACCTGGGACCTTTCAGTCCGCAGGCCGACGCTCTATCCACTGAGCCAAACCGGTTTCGGCAACTTTTTCTTTTTAAAAAAATATATTTTTATTGATTTTTTACAGAGAGGAAGGGAGAGGGATAGAGAGTTAGAAACATCAATGAGAGAGAAACATTGATCAGCTGCCTCCTGCACACCCCCTACTGGAGATGTGCCTGCAACTGGAATCAAACCTGGGACCCTTCGGTCCGCAGGCTGACACTCTATTCACTGAGCCAAACCAGTTAGGTGTAGACTTTTTCTTAAAGAAAGCTTCCAAAGTTGCATAGACTACAGACCCACCCACAGAACCTGCATCTGCCACAGCAACGGAATAACAATATGTAATTTCCATAAATGAGTACAATACTTGGGTGAGATAGTTCAAAATGTTACAACCAGAGAGATATACCAAGTTCCTAGATGACAAAATTCCATACTGTTAAAATGTCAATTCTCTCAAATTAAGTGATTAATGTAAGTGCAGTAAATATTCTAACAGTATTTAGAAAGCAGAGCAAAACTTTGGGAAAATCTGGGCGACATCTGAAAAAAATAAGAATCACTAGAAATTTTTGAAAAAGATAATTAAGTGAATGTGAGATGTAGGATTTTGGGGCAAATGACTATTTTTCCAGATACAAAAAGTATTATAAACCTTCAACAATTGAAACAATGTGGTATGGGTACAGGAATAGACACCGAACGCTATGACTAGGTGAATTTTATGGTGAGTTATATTAATACTGCATTAGTATTTCATAAGCAATATGTAGTATATTACATCATTATGCAATATAGAATACCAAAATATAAAGTTATAAATAACTTTATTATAATAATGCTATTATATTTTTAAAGCATGACCAGTCAAATTACAGAAAAATTAGTAAGTTAAAAAACATAAGAAATAATCAACATCCCTAATAATGAAAGAAATATAAATTAAAGCAATAAGGATATACTATTTTTACCAATCAAAATAATAGGGTGATAGTTTTTAAATAACAGTTCTCACTGCTGTAGAAGTATGGTAAGACAGATATTCTCCTATATTGAAGGTGGGGGTGCAAATTAGCACAGCCTTTCTTGAAGACAGTATAGCAATATATATTAATAGAGTAATACTCTGCTTCAGTGGTATTGCTTATAAAAATATCACCTAGGAAATTCATGCTAAATATGAGGAGAAAATCATTATATACAAAGACCCACATTTCATTATTATGCATGACACTGAAGAAATAAAACATCTTAAATTTCAGTGACAGTGAAATAGTTAAGTGTGCTATAGTGTACACACTTGGTGGGATATTATGCAACAGCTGAAATAAATTGTATATGCATATGGGAAAATTATTATCATATGATAGCATGAGAAAAATGAGAGCACAAAACTGAATCAACAATATGACCAAAACTAAACTCAACTTTTTCTTTTCTTTTTTTGTATTTTCAAATTATTTTGAATAAACCACATTTATAAAATTTCCAAAATATCTAAAAGAAATGACAAAACAGTGATAGAGACTATAATTCCAGGCACCATATGATGTGTGGTTTATGGCTGCTATAATGAGCACTAGATATATTCAGAGAAGAGTTTAAACTGAGTGTTTCAATGTTTTATCTGCAGGTGACTTTGAGTTTCAAGGATTTCCTCCCCCGCGTCGGCCTGCGGACTCAGGGGTCCCGGGTTCGATTCCGGTCAAGGGCATGTACCTTGGTTGCGGGCACATCCCCAGTGGGGGGTGTGCAGGAGGCAGCTGGTCGATGTTTCTCTCTCATCGATGTTTCTAGCTCTCTGTCCCTCTTCCTTCTTCTCTGTAGAAAATCAATAAAATATATTTAAAAAAAAAAAAATAAAAAAAAATAAAGATAGTATATAAGCTACTTTAAATGATCACAAGTAGGATCAAATAGGGGAATCTCTTTAAAGATCAGTAGGTGAGCACAATCCTATGACACAGGCTTTAACCCTGCCAAGCATCCTGGGCGATGATGCTAACGCTGCTGGGACCACCCTTAGAAGCTTGTAGAAAACATGGCTCTATTAGGTGAAGAGTGGATGCCAGAACTGCCAGAGCAGACAGGAACATATAGGTTCACATAATGGTCTAGAGCAGACATGCTAAGTCAGGTCAGAAAACTGCCCTGCCAACAGTGTTCTGTGGGAGAGCCCAGAGGACGCTGTTTAAAAACAGGGAAAGCACTGGGATGAGAGGCGCCAGCGTCACTGTGACGGTCAGGGTGGCTGTCTTCCTTAGGCTTGAACTGCTTACAGAGCTGGGCTCCTTGATAGTGATCAGGATGATAGAGTCCTGAGGTTTAAAAAAAAGGGGGGGGGCAGGTTGTGGGCAATTATCATAGTGACTGGCAAGGTTAGATGCAAGGTATTGGGGATGTGGGGGAGGTGTCTGACCCACTGAGATATGGAGATGATTAACAGAACACAGCATCTTAGGGACAAGATGGATCAACAGCCAATAAGCATATTGCTCAAACTATACAATCAAAAGAAATCAAGCCTGGATCTTCAAGAGAGGAGACTGAGCAGTCTCCACAATAAAAAATTACCATACCCTGTCTAGGTTCTAGATCTGAGCCATTACTCAGGCTGGGAACCACTGACTGAAGGACGGGCTGGGTCCCAGGAGGAAGAATCCCGTGACACATGGCAAGTCCTTCCCCAAAAGGGGCGTATAGCCATTTACTCCAATACATTGGAAAAGAAGCATTCCCAGATATTTCAAGGACACGGGGTCTGAATTAACATGGATTCTCAGGGACCTAAATA